ATGATGATGATGAAGTTGGAAGGGACCTGGAGGTCATTGAGTCCAACCCCCTGCTCAGGCAGGAAACCTTATACCAGTGGTGGCGAACCTATGGCACGCGTGCCAGAGGCGGCACTCCGAGCCCTCTCTGTGGGCATGCGTGCCGTGCCCCGGAGATGGTGAGGGACTGGCCCCCACCGCCCTGGCCCCACACACCTAGTCTGCCATGACCACCGCGGCCACGCCCACCTGGCACCGAATGATAAATAAGTGGGTTTTGGGTTACAATTTGGGCACTGGGTCTCTAAAAGGTTCGCCATCACTGCCTTATACCATTTCGGACAAATGGCTGTCCAGTCTCTTCTAAAAAACTTCCAATGTTGGAGCATTCACCGCTTCTTTTCTTTCTCATCACTCCCTACAACAATCAAAAGCTCAGATTCTGCTACTCAAATTAGCTCATGTATATATTACAAGCTAAAAGACGATTCCTTAGTGACAACTTGTGCATCATGACATCATCCAAATTGTGCAGTGAAGTATTTATGTCATGACTTCTGATAAGGTTGTCGAGTACAAAAGTTCTGCCATTTTTGTGATCACATTTTTCCTCGCTTACCTCCCCTGTCTTGTATGCATATTTTTCCTTGCTTTTCTCAATTTTAGACACAGAAACAGAAAAAAAATGCCTGTAAGAAAGCTTTTAGAAACTCGTTCCAACTTGTTTTTCTAGGAAATATTCAAAAATGCAATCTGTTATCTATGGCCTGAAATAAGCAGTCCCAGGAGACACTGTCCTGTGATTTTACTAAATGCATAAATGAGTCTTAGGAAAGAAAGAGAATAATATATTTTCAGATACTTAAAAAAGAACTAGAAGGAAAGTGAATAATGTTGCGAAGCCTTTGCCCATAACCACATAGATATATGACATTATGCTGTAATTCAGCAAAGCACTTGATCCGTCCATTGAAGTAGATTCCAATCCACAAAGTCATTATACCAAAATAGGTTTGCTAGTCTTTGAGAATTTAAAAGAGCCTTTGTAAGTTTCTTTTCATCCTGTAATTTTTAATCTGAAACTTTTCTTTTTGATAGATGTATTTTAGGTTCCCCTTTATGTTCCTTAGCACTTTAAGGCAGGGGTACCCACCATTTCTGGGATAGTGGCCCAGTGGGAAAGGGAGGAGCAGGCACCTTTATGCGTGCATGTGCACACATGCAAATGTGGCTGCATGTGCATGCACGCAAATGGGGCCGCAAGCATGCGCACTCCACAAATGGGGCTGCTAGCACTGGCACGAGGCTCGCGACTCATAGCTTAGTTAGCACTGGCGTAATGGGGGTGAGCACATGCACATGCATGCATATACTGGCCAACCACTCATGCGGCCCGGTGGCCAAGAGGCCACGGCACGCTAGTGGACTGTGGCCCATAGGTTGAAGACCTCTGCTTTAAGGTATACCAGATCCTTTGGTTGGTTCTTCTCATTCAAATTTCTTTCATCTGGCACTTTTATTTTGACCCATGGATTCTGTCTGGGCCTCCCCCTTTTTTGTTTCTCAGCTGTTTACTTCATAAACATGTTTGGGGTTCCCCCTAAGTCTAGGCAGTCTTTCATCTCCCAACCCTTTGCCACTGATCCACTCTTTTGAGGTGCCTGGAAAAGTCAGTCTCTCTGTGTCTTACTAATGGCAGGGATAAACTGGATTCCTGGCAATAAATGTCATCTCAAATAATCCCGAGTCACCTACAGTCCACTGAACATTTTGTTCGGTGTGTATGTGCTTGTATAATCCAGACAAGGGTTTTTGGGAGACTCCCCTGTGGGGTCCGATATTTGCTCTATTTCCCACCGCTTCGAAGCAGAGTATTCAGGGGGGCCAAAACGTTCTTGGACCCCATGAATTAACTGGAGTGCCTTTTGCAGCCATGAAAATACACACAGAGACACACAGACACACACACACACACACACACCACAAAGAGGATGAGACTGAAGCTGTCACTCCTTTTTTCAGTTCATGAGAAGACAGAGATATGGAGATGGAGATGGAGATAGAGATAGAGAGATATAGATAGATAGATAGATAGATAGATAGATAGATAGATGGATGGATGGATGGATGGATGGATGGATGGATGGATGGATGGATGGATGGATGGATGGATGGATAGATAGATAGATAGATAGATAGATAGATAGATAGATAGATAGATAGATAGATAGATAGATAGATAGATAGATAGATGATAGATAGATAGATAGATAGATAGATAGATAGATAGATAGATAGATAGATAGATAGATAGATAGATAGATAGATAGATAGGGAGAGAGAGAGAGAGAGAGATTTTCAGTTGGAAGGGATATAATAATAATAATAATAATAATAATAATAATAATAATAATAATAATAATAATAATAATAATAATAAGATGATGATGATGATGATGATGATGATGATGATGATGATGATGATGATGATGATGATGATGATGATGTTGGAAGGGATCTTGGAGGTCATCTAGTCCAACCCCTTGCTCAGGCAGGAAACCTATACCATTTCAGACAAACAGCTGTCCAGTCTCTTCTTAAAAACTTCCAGTGTTGGAGCATTCACTGCTTCTGGAGGCAGGTTGTTCCACTGGTTAATTGTTCTAACTGTCAGGAAGTTTCTCCTTAGTTCTAGGTTGCTTCTCTCTTTGATCAGTTTCCACTCGTTGCTTCTTGTCCTGCCTTCAGGCACTTTGGAAGCCAGCCTTCTGCCTTGGAAACCTCCAGTGACTGACCCCATCCCTGCCCCCAAAAGCAGTCTGTTCCACTGCTTACAGCAGGAAATCCCTCCTTATTTTGAGCTTGGATGTCCCCCCTCTATAAATGTTGGGAGAATGAATCCACTGGCTTTGCCCTGTAGGGGCCCTTCCTTCAAGGATTGAAAGGCTGCTTTGGTGCCTGCTTTTCACCTCGTCTTCTTTAAGCTGGACACGGGCCGATTCTTTCAACTCCCCTTCATAGGATTCCCCTCCGAGCCCCTCGCCTTCTTTGCTGCTCTTCTCGGCAGCGTTCTCCCCTGGCGTCCTCCTTGCCTTGTGACAATGGGAGCAGGCGTGATCATGCAGGTGTGATGGGATCAAAGCAGTAAGAGTGGGACTCTGGCTTCCCCAGGTCTCAACATTGTTCCTCCCTTGATGCAATAACCTAAAAGGCTGAAGGCGTCCTCTTTATGACTTGAAACCTTCAATCACTCCTTGCCCCAAAGGGAATCTTGGCATTTCACATTATTGGAGAGTGCCCTCTGTTTGTTTATGATGATGATGATGATGATGATGATGATGATGATGATGATGATGGTGATGATGATGATGATGATGATGATGATGATGATGATGATGATGATGATGGGTCATCGCACAGTCAGCCAGATGTTCAGACTGGATTTGGCATTTTGTCTACCTATTGAGTCCTTCCCAAGGACCTGGGATAGGCAGATGTGGATGTTTGATGGTATTACAGATGAAAGCAGTTCCTAGTAAGGCCGCCTTTTGCAATTGACTAATGGCGAATTTGTCAATGCCAATGGTGTTCAAGTGGTGCTCCAGTTGTTTTGGGATTGCACCCAAGGCGCCTATTACTATTAGTACTACCCTTGCTTGCCTTTGCCACAGTCGTTCTATTTCTGTTTGTAGATCTCTGTATTTTTTTATCTTCTCCAGTTCTTTCTCATCTATTCTGCTGTCTATTATTATTATTATTATTATTATTATTATTATTATTATTATTATTATTATTATTATTATTATTATTTTGTAAAAATTGTTCAGTTGCAAGGGGATTTCCTTTTCTTTTCTACCCCTCACAACAACCATATGAGATAGGCCCGTGGTGGCGAACCTATGGCACGCGTGCCACAGGTGACACGCAGAGCCCTCTCTGTGGGCATGCGCACCATCACCCCAGTCCTAGGCCTTCAGCTGGGTTTTATAAAACCTTTTCGCTTTAGGCCTCCGCCGCCGTGTGCAAAAAAAAAAAAAAGGTTCAATCAATCAATCAATTTCAACTTCTCGCGGGAAAAAAAAAGATCTCGCAAAGTTGGAATTGATTGATTGAATTTTTTAGTCCCACCCAGTCTGCCGTTACCACCACAGCCATGCCCACCCAATTGGCCACACCCACCCAGCACCCGATGATACATAAGTGGGTTTTAGGTTGTAGTTTGGGCACTCGGTCTCTAAAAGGTTCGCCAACACTGAGATAGGCTGTTCTGAGAGAGAATGGTTGATCCATAGTCACTCCTCAAGTTTCTGTGGATAAGAATAACTAGAACTCAGAGCTCCCCGGTTTCAATTCATCCTTTTTGCAATTACACAATCCTGCTTCTCAAAACCAGGATTGGCCTTGAAATAAAGACGTGCGGTTCTGATATAGACACAGTGCAATTGCGTAGATATCGGAAAATCTGCAAAAAGAGTTTGAAGACACATCAAGCCTAACATGATGATGAAAGCAATAAAAGGATTGCTCCATAGAAACTTGAAAGACACTTTTCAGAAATATGCAAGAAAAGAGATTTAGGTTTCACAGAACTTAAAAAGAAATAGAAAGAAGTCTTCTCAGTCCACCAGAAAGCAATTCACCAGGTTTTATAAAGTCATGCTTGCTTTGTTGTCTGGTGCATTTTACATCGAATAGAGAAAGAAAGAAAAATAACAATTGCTGTCTGGTGGATTAAAAATAAATGCGCAAATGGTTTTATAACTTATATATCTCCAGTAATCACTCTGCTAAGCTCAATGATTTGCCTCTCCCTTCTTCTCAACAGGACAACATTTTCAAGCTGGAAGATTCACATTTTGAAAATGGCAGAGGAAAAAGTCCTTATGACCCCAAACTTCTGACAGCTTCTCTTTTAATAGGTATGTAGTATAAAGTAGTTTTGAAACACACACACACACATCAACCGAAACCTCTGCCTCTGCTCCTTCAGATGATTGGGCCCAGTGCAAGTCAGCTCTGATCTGATTCAAATTTCAGATTTGGTCACAGGACAAATGAGTTTGATTTATACCCAAGATCCGAAGACAAACCAGATCATTTGCAGCCCCATCAAGATCCGAGGTTGGGTTAAAGAAAAGAAGTAACTGCCTTTATGTTGCATGCATATATTGGGGAATAAATTGGTGCCTAGAGGCTACATCCATACTCAAGTGTCTTTTGATAGAATTGGATAAAAATGGCAAGGACAGTGGAGAATCTTATGCAGGGTCCTAAGAACAGTCTCTTTCCTGGACTTAAAGCGTTTCAGAAAGAGCTGGACTGCTGTGTTTCTCAACTGCCTGGTGCTGCCAATTAAACATGCACAATCATAGCAATTGGTTGTTTCTGCAGATGAGTGTGTATTTCTTATAACGAGGGTGCAGATGTTATCCTCTGTTTGAACAGGTGGGTGACCAGCAATCCTGCAGAACTTTGGACCTCCCAAAGACTCTTTTAGACCATGCAGTGTTTACAAATGCAATCCTAGTGCATTCCAAATATGGCCGCCCGAATCAATTTTGTATTTCTTGAATTGCTTTCAATATGAGAAATAGAGAATCGATTTCGGGGGGGGTCGTATATCTCCCACTCCAAATAAGTCAACGCTCTTTTCCCAAAGTTTCAGGCTTCCTCTTTACGTGAAAGAGTAAGTTAATTTACAGGAGAGAATCATGCAGGGGGTTTCAATACTGTACTAACTACCAGCTACTTCACACCCTCCATGACGCCATCATAGTTGCCTCCAACTTCGCAGTAACAGAGAGAATTAAACTATCATTTCAATCAGAAAAGGATGTTTGGGTTTGGAAATTCAACTTCACTGTACTAATTCCCAGCCTAGAGCTTCGGTTTAATTAAGTATAGCAGTATTCTTTTAAACCCACCTGTGTGGCAGCCCCTCTCCAAAGTTGGCTGATCTTGAAAAGCTAAGCAGGATCAGAACTGGTTGGTACTTGGATGGGAGCCTTCAGAAAGTCTTATGCCTTGAACTGGATTGGTAATTATGGTTGCTAAGACAACAGTCGCCACCCATCAGCAGCCCCTCGCCTCCTTGCCAGCTTGCTTGCAAACCACCTGGGACTTGCAACTTCCTGCTGGTCTCCCACTGTCCTTGGTTGTGGGGAGCTGGTAGGCCATTGCCTCAGAATAACAGAGTTGGAAGGGACCCTGGAGGTCTTCTAGTCCAACCCCCTGCTCGAGCAGGAAACCCTATGCCAGTGATGGCGAACCTTTTAGAGACCGAGTGCCCAAAAACCAACCCGCCCCCCACTCAGCTCCCCTCCCTGCCCACTCTACCCTCGCTCTGCCCCGCCCCACCCACCCACAGGGCCACCCACTGCCTCCACGGCCTGCTGCAGATTGCCCAGGCGGTCCAGCAGTGCCATGGCAGCCACACCCTCCACCCGCACCCCGCAGCATCAATTGCATGTGACAGGCCACGAGGGCGGAGTCTTGTCCCCATTGCCCGACTCCCATGTCCTTGGCTGTGCTGCTCCACATGGGCCGCGCTCGGGGGCGACTCTCCTCCAGGGGGGCTGCTGGTGAGGATGGGGCAGTGGGGGGAGGTGGGGTTGGGGCAACGGCGCATGTGCCCACAGAGAAGGCTCCGAGTGCCGCCTCTGGCACGCGTGCCATAGGTTCGCCACCACTGCCCTATGCCATTTCAATCCCTTGTCCAATGTCTTCTTAAAAACCTCCAGTATTGGATCAGCCATAACTTCTGCAGGCAAGTCATTCTGGAGACCTTGCCGAACAACCATGGGATTCATTTAACAACAGCAACCAAGATTGCAAGAACTGCCATCATTAAATGATGCTAAATGATGTGGTTATGCTTTATGATTGCATCACTTAACAATGGAAATCGTTGTCATACGCCAAGGGCTACCTGTAATCCACAACAGCAAAACAGAAAGTTGCCTTTCAGGCTGATCTAAGCCCTTAAACCTCTTTGGATTTCTCTCTTGGTTCTTTTTTTCCTTTCTCTTTGTAAGGATCTTGATTGTATTCACACTGGAAACGCCGGGTGTGGTCTGGAAGCTATAAAACTAAAATTTGAAGAGAGTGCCTAGTGCCAGCCAGTAAGATGTTACCATGAAAGCACAGGAAATTCAGAAATGATTAATAGTTTGATGTGATTTAAGCATCAGGAAGAAAGTTTAAATATCTATCCTCCAGATGTTGTTTGAAAGATGAAAAGTATTTCAGGGTTGTTTTTCTTCTGTAGCACTTAAGAAAAGGAAATAATTCTGTGTTTTAACAAATCCTTCATGCTTTTAAAAAACGACACTCAGAGAGTGCAGAGTAGATTGCCTTCATTTGGAAACTTAAATGATTAGTGGGAACTACCCAGAGGGCACTTTTTAAAATACAGCCGTTCACTTTGCAGTAACTTGCACCTTGGATTTATGGGAGATAGGAGGGGGAAAAAGTCCTTAAAAGACAGGTGTATAATTGAGTGCCTGGAGCAGCAAACATTTGTGGCGGTGTTTCTCGGGCCGAGATTGACTTTGAACAAAAGGTAGGATGGCAAAATCAGCACAAAGCCAGCCCATTATGGCATCTTGCCATGTAAAGTAAACAGAGTTTAGCTTTTTATGTGCCTTTTTCATCTGCACTTAAGTTACACCAATATGGTAGTGTTGCTGCCTGGCCTTTTGCTTTGATTAAAAAAAAAAAAAACAACCCTAGAAATATTTTCCTCTTTTTAAAAAAGGCAAAAAGTTATGAGAAAGAGACAAAGATGATGAATCTTAACAAATAGCTTGCCTCGCAGGCAGCGTTCTTTAACCTTGGCAACTGGAAGATGGGTGGACTTCAAATCCCAGAATTTGCCAGCCAGCAATTTGGGGAAGCATTCTGAAGTTAATTAGAATCATAGTTTGAATTATCAATGCCTCCCTTTGGCTAAGTCTGTGTGTCTTGCACGACCAGTCTCAGGGAACAGCTGGGACAGGCTTCAGCAGAGGTTTATTTGCTTTTAAATTCATGTGGAGGCAATTACTGATTTGTTCCCTGCAGTCTTTTAAAAATATATAACGAGCAGACGTATTTTTAAAAAAATGTGTTAGAATTACTGCAGTTGTATTCCTTCTTCTTTTTTTTTAATTCAAAATATCTGTTACTCCGTGCACTTGCAACTGATTTTCATTAATTTCATCCATGCTATAAAAATGCCAGTTTGGGATGAGAAATAAATAGCTCTGAGGCCTTCTTTAGCTGTCATTTATTATTAATGGCCTGTGGAAGTCACAGCTACTGTTTGCATGCCAATGCCGACGTTTGCATTCTCCAATAAAACCTTAAAAATTCTCCGATCCAGCCACAGGGGCAGGATCTATAGGAAACGCCATCCAAAATTCGCCAAGACTATATATATAATGTTGAAACTCTTGGCTCATTCATGTGGCTTTAGGAGCTTTAAGGCAGAATGTGGGTTGCTTTTTATGTCTTTCCAGCCATTCATTCGGATTATTGGAAACAAAGATCCATAGTAATGATCCAGTTGGGATCGTGGCTGAGTCACGCACCATTTGGCACTTCTGAGTCATAAAACTACGAAAAAGATGAAGGCCGGAGACACAAGGCTTCCTAATCCATGTGTCTCCAGTCAACTGGGTTCCCAGAATTAAGATACAGAAGGATCTGGACAGACTTGAACACTGGGCACTATCTAACAAAATGAAATTCAATGGTGAAAAAAGCAACGTTCTACATTTAGGCAAGAAAAACCAATTGCACAAGTACAGCATAGGTGGCACCTTGCTCAATAGTAGTAACTGTGAGAGGGACCTCGGAGTCCTAGTGGACAATCACCTAAATATGAGCCAGCAGTGTGCTGCAGCTGCCAAAAAGGCCAACACAGTGCTAGGCTGCATTAACAGAGGGATAGAATCAAGATCACGTG